GTGTGTGTGTGTGTGTGTGTGTGTGTGTGTGTGTGTGTAGCACTCCTACGTTATGAGCAGCTGCAGCTAGATTGAAATTGCGGTGCTTGTGGTTGTGAAGTGTTTATTAATTTATAAATGGTTCAACATAAACAGCATTTGGTGAAATATCCAGAACTCAATTAGCAAACACCTGTGACTGTGAGTGGCTGCTGATGCTCATTCAGTTATTTTTTTACACTGTCAGTGAAATTTTGTTAGGATTGAGGCTACATTTATGGGCTATTCTGAAACAATAAAAGTCCAGTGAGATAAGAAATGAAGCTYTCAGATTGAGGAAAAGCACACAATTTAGCTGTGTTCTGATTGACTGTCAAGTACCACTAAGTGTATGCTAACAACATTAGGGCCCGCATCATTTATGCACCAGCGCACCGAGTAGACGGGAGTCTGCTCACCTTATTCCACCGCTTGATCCCCGCCCGTCATCAACTCTGACCGCCTTTAATAGCGTTGAAGGTGAAACGAGCAGACCCTCTTAATGAGGCGCACCCACACGCACCATACTCKTCAACGCCTGAAAAACTTTGAAAGAAATGAAGGTAAGGCACAAACATTAGAYTGTAGTAATGCTGGCATACGGTACTGTTAAAAAAAAACAAACAAAAAAAACAAATAAAGGAAAACTGTCAAATAAGTCTGAGATGAGAACTTGTGTAGTTAGCACAAAGCTAAAATTCGTTCAGATGTGGGAACTACATCAAAATGCTAGTTTATAAACACTGAACTCATGTCAGAGGTTATATAAACACTAAATTTGACAAAYGAGACCGTGTTTTTTCCAACTACCTTGTGTTTTTTATTTTTTATTTTTATTTTTTGCAAATTCAGGCAGATAAATACCGGATGAGGTRCAAAGCACAGTATATTTTACAAGCAAGGGATTTATAATAGAAAGCAAGCAATGCGTATTTCTTGTTTTTATTTGTAAAAACACAATTTGTGACAATTATATTTTAAATACGATTTTGATTTACATATTTGTATGCATTTACCAATAAAATATWATTACCACTTTGATTGTTTGGCCTACGGAGATGAACTGAGCAAACCACGAAATATTGAAAATATTATTTTAGGTCCTAACTGTGCCCACTATCTACTTTAYTAACAGATCCAGTAGTTAGTTGGGATTTCTGCCCATGTAGTAACTGACCCGGATGATCCCCACATTTGTAGCTACGAAATGGTCTATTGTAGGCTCTGTTGTCAAAAATACCTACTAGACCTATTATAAAATCATTACCTTTGCTAAATATGGAGTAAACGTATTGAAAGACCCACCTAACTAGACCACAATGCATTACAAATGACTGAATTTGAGAAAATATATGAAAAAAGTTTTGCGTTTGTCTGTTAGCAAAATATTTTATGACTGTATTTTAATAAAAACAAAGTAAACATGTCTGTCTGTCTGTCTGTTAGCAAAATATCTTATAAACCAGCAGGTAGATTTTAATTAAACTCTCAGAAAGTAATCATTGGATGTACATCTAAAATTTTTAAACTCAATTTAATTAAAACATTTAAGTCAATTAAAATTCGTCTTGTATAATTACTGAGATATTTTGCTAACAATACAGACTGCATGCCCTTCGTGGTGTCTGTGATAAATAAGCTATCAAATTCAAAAACTTAATTTAGTTTTTGCAACAAGCACTAATACAAGCAGCTTGAAGTTATTTCTGCTTTTGATTGAAAAAAGAAATGGAAGAAACATTGACCTTGCTGTTTGTGTGGCAGATCGATTTTAGACAAAGAACGTGGATTATTCAGTGGAAGAAAACCTGGACTTTTCTCTTACTGGGTTGAGCAGAAAGGACTGGCATGCACAAACATAAACGAACCACCTGCCACAACACTGAAAAGAGCAGCTCAGAAATCAGCAGACTGAGGACAAGTGACTTCTTCTGGTAAGGACYAAATTTTTACATGTTTAAAGTTGGAACAAACCTTTTAACCCTAACAATTTTTCTAGCATTAAAACCGCGTGTTTCTGGAGAAATTGCTTTGTCTGCAAAAAAGTGCTGAATGACTGCTGAAAATTGTTGATGAAGGAAAATAAACAAATTATTGAAGTTAAATCAATACAACAAAACTAAAATAAGCAAAACTGTGGCTAAAAGCAAAGTTAAACTAAACTGTCGCTAAAAGCTAAAATAAAATAAACTTTTAGCTAAATGCTAAAACAAGCAAAACTGTAGCAAAGTTGCCTAGATTAGTAAAACTGCAGCTAATAGGCAAAACTACTTATTTTGTTGCTGGTAATATAGATGTAGTATAATCCTGATCTACATTTTAGTCATAAAGTTGTTCTTGAACAGTTATTTTCTGAAGCGGTAAATGCTTAAGAATGTTTGATAATCACAACTAGGGCTGCCACGATTAATCAATTAATCGACGGCTAATCG